TGAATATAGCACTGTCTGTCACAAGGGCTTTTATAAACTGAAAGGAAATGGATATGTCAGGGTGATTTGGGGAAGTATGTACTCTCAAAAGTACAGATGCCAGAGTGTGCTAGCACTGGTGGTTATTTTTTTTCTTCAAATAAAATATATTTCCTTTTCTTTTACAAGAAGAATGCTACATATCTTTCCCTGGTTCTGAGTATGCAGGCTGTAGGAAAAGACAGGCTTGCTTGGTGTCTATTACGTGTGTCTCCAGTGCAAACTTTGAGCAACATTCTGCCTTCGACGTAAATGCCTGAGTTGAAACCATCTGAACAGTCTTGTTGTACTCTCACCACTAAGCTCAGAGAGGCCAAGCATAACAAGGGCCAGCCTGAAATTTTCCTCATGGCTGAATTTTTGCTGGCTGACATCCCATCTCCCTTCCCATTAAACAGTCAGGAGCTCTCAAATCCCAGGGTAAGGCAGTAATGCAATGAGCTTCCTCTTCAAGCTGTCATGCAGCGTCTCTTTGCAAAATGACTGCCAACGCACTTCTTGGAGCAGGCTTGGTTCAGGATTCCTGGATTCCATAGTTGAAAGCTTCCTCCAGGAATCAAGTTTTGACATAAAACACTTGGAAACAGGTAAGAAATTCTCCTTTCATTCTGCTGGGCTCTAAATTAAGCCAACCAGCAGACAGAAATCATCGAAGTGGCTGTGACACAGCCTGGTCACAGGTTAGGTAATGTTAGAATCGTTTTTCCAAACCCTGCGCTCTCTTGATGAGCTAGACAACAGTGACCAACTTAGCCACTGCCCAAAGGCTACCTGCCCCATCTGCAGGTTTTACCAGGATGTGCTGCCTCACAGTAACTATCTCCTACCTTAGATACACCATCTACAGCCTGACCTGCAGCAAATGGGAAGACATGGCCAGTCAATTTATGGGCATTTTCCAATATCTTTTAGCAAGAAATTCAGTCTGCTGTGGAAGGAGACTCTCTTTGAATGCGACAAGTCAGATTTCACATGCTGAGTGGAGATGGTTCTACCACTAAGGTTTCTTAGTGATGTGCTAAGTCATGTGTGTGTTTGATGTCTCTGATATTTCCACACTTTTACTCTTTGATTTACTATTTAATTCTCTCTTCCCCCTTACTGTGTGTTTTTCCCATTTGGAAGGAAATCCAAATGGGAAATCCCAATCCCAATCCCCTTTTTGGAGGAAAAGTTGCTTCCTGACATATCCAAATACACTATTCTAGTCACAGAATCACAGAATGGTTAAGGCTGGAAGGGATCTTTAAAGATCATCTGGTCCACCCCCCCTGTTCCAGCAGGGACATCTAGAGCACATGGCACAGGGTGGCGTCTAGGTGGGTTTTGAAGATCTCCAGAGAAAGAGACTCCACAACCTCTCTGAGCAGCCTGTTCCAGTGCTCTGTCACCTTCACAGTAAAGTGGCTCTTCCTCATATGCAGATTAAACATCCTATATTTCAACTTACACCCATAACCCCTCGTCCTGTCATCAGCCACCACAGAGAAGAGCCTGGTCCCATCCTCCCTACATTCTCCCTTCAGGTACTTGAACATGTTAATCAAATCTCCTCTCAGCCTTCTCTTCTTCAGACTAAGTAGGCCCAGCTTGCTTAGTCTTTCCTCATACAATAGTCCCTTAAGCATCTTCACGGCCCTTAGTCCCTTAGATAGTCCCTGAATCATCTTCTTGGCTCTACGCTGGACCCTCTCTACAAGCTCAATGTCCTTCTTGTACTGGGGAGCCCAGAACTGCACACAATACTCCAGGTGCGGTCAACCAGAGCCGAGTAGAGGGGCAGGATCACCTCCCTCGACCTGCTGGCACCACTTCTGATGCAGGCCAAGATCCCATTGGCCTTCTTGCCACGAGGGCACATTGCTGACTCACGGTTAACTTGTTGTCAACCAGGACTCCCAAATCGCTCTGCACGGAGCTGCTTTCCAGCAGGTCAACTCCTCATCTCTACTGGTGCCTGGGGTTATTCCTCCCCAGGTGCAGGACCCTGCACTTGTTCTTGTTGAAGCTCTTGAGGTTCCTCTCTGCCCAACTCTCCATCCTGTCTAGATCTCTCTGAATGGCAGCACGGCCCTTGGGAGTGTCAGCCACTCCCCCCAGCTTTGTATCATCTTCAAACTTGCACTCTGTACCCTCGTCCAAGTCATTGATGAACAAGCTGAACAGCACCGGGCCCAGTACTGACCCTTGTGGTACACCACTGGCCACAGGCCTCCAACCAGACTCGGGCCCATTTATCACCACCCTCTGGGCTCTGCCATCTAGCCAGTCCTCAATCTACCTTACTGTCTGCTCGTCCAGTCCACGCTTCCTGAGCTTCCCTAGGAGGATGTTATGGGAGACAGTGTCTCAAGTCTTACTGAAATCAAGGTAGACAACATCTATGTTCTCCCACTGTCCAGCTGGTCACCTCATCATAGAAGGCTATCAGGTTTGTCAAACATGACTTTCCCTTGGTGAATCCATGCTGACTACACCTGATCACCTTCCTTTCCTTGACATACCTAGAAATGGTCTCTAGGATGAGCTGCTCCATCACCTTTCCAGGGACGCAGGTGAGGTTGACTGGCTTGTAGTTTCCCGACTCCTCCCTCTTGCCTTTTCTGAAGACTGGAATGATGTTGGTTTCTTCCAGTCCTCCGGCACCTCCTCTGCCCTCCATGACCTCTCAAAGATGATGAAGAACAGCTGAGCAATAACCCCCGCAGTTCCCTCAGCATTCTTGTGCGCATCCCTTCTGGGCCCATAGATTTATGGGTGTCCAGTTTGCCTAAATAGTCCCTAACCCAATCCTCCTCGACCAGCGGAAAGTCCTATTCTCTCCTGGTTCTCTCTCTTGTCTCCAGGCTCTGTAGTTCTGGCGGGACTGGCCTTCCCAGTAAAGAAAGAAGCAGAGAAGGCATTTAGTAACTCTGCCTTCTCTGCATCCCCTGCCACCAAGGCACTCTCCCCATTCAGCAGCAGACTAACATTTTCCCTAGTCTTCCTCTTGCTGCTGATGTATTTATAGAAGCCCTTCTTGTTGCCCCTGACATCTCTTGCTAACTCTAGTTCCAAATGGACTTTGGTCTTCCTTGTTGCATCCCTGCATTCTCTGACAATGTTCCTATATTCTTCCCATGTGGCCTTGCCCTTCTTCCACATTATGTACATGCTCTTTTTCTCATTAAGTTTACCCAACAGCTCCTTGACCATCCACGCAGGTCTCCTGCTCACCTTGCTCAACTTCTTTCTTATAGGAATGCACCCATCCCAAGTTTGGAGAAAGTGGTGCTTGAATATTAGCCAACTCTCCTCAACCCCCTTTCCTCCTAGGACCCTGGCC